AATTGATAAATTAAATATTTATTGCATTTTCAACAAATATAGTGGATTTGATTGGTCAAAAAAGTCACAGGACCACTGACACGACGTTGAAGCCACGTTGGAGCTATGTCGGAAGCAATTGGATGTCAAATGCCACGCATGCCATTACACTAACGACGTCACAGAGCTCAATTAGTGAAGGGGCTAATTTGCTCCTTATGTGAGGTTTGAGGGCTTATCTGCCACTTTTTTAGTTTAGAGGCTTATCACTAGCTGTCAAAAAAAGTTCAGGGGCTTAGCATGGGTTTTTGCCAAGTTTTAAGTGTTTCCTCCCGCAGTCTAAATCTACGTGGACCGATTGAGTCATGCCACTTGTAGGGAATATTTTACTTAATACCAAAATTGTTCATATACACTTAATTAATCTTTTTTGTGTTGATTCATTGGAGGTAATTTAGTTTTTTTTTTTTAATATTTTAATTGCTAAAAAATCTTGATTTTCCTCATTTTCATAATAAAAAAATTGAAAAAAACATCACATCCTACATAAAAATATTAAAATATCTAATAATAATTACAGATAAATGTGATATAATATAAATCTTATTTAAATCATTATAATCATCTGGTTAAAATTAGATATATAACATTTTTAATAACACGAAGTCTTAATTTTTGCTTGTATGTAATAATAATAATAATGATAATAATGATAATGATGGCTGTTTAATGTCCATACGAAATTATTGGCATTTTCAACCGGTGATGTGTTTACTTAAATCCTATCCAATCAGTTAAGTTCCGTGTATGGTGATGGCGGCTGTATAGAAAATTAGGGGTGGTAGGTTTAAGGTAGTTTTCGTGGGACCTAACCTCCTAATTTCTATGAATAGAAGTCATTCTGAGTCATTGAGCTGTGTAATCTTCATGCATTTCTCTTTTCCAAACTACAGTAGCAAATATGGCCGCAGACGCTGTCCTCGGTGCTGTTTTGAAGCTGACCTTATCCAAGGTGATTTCAGCTGCTAACGAGCAGCTCAACTTAGTTGTTGGATTCCATCAGGAGTTGAGGAGGTTTCATGTCACACTGGGAATGACCTGGGGTGTGTTAGACGACGCAGAGCAGAAGCAAGTGACAGGCCGCCCTGATCTGAAGCATTGGCTTGAGGAGCTTTGGAGTATCAGTGAAGAGGCTGATGATCTGATGGATGAGATTGCATATGAAAATTTGCGACGCGAGGTCGTTTCTCAAAAAATGCTGAAACAGGTCAGCTACTTCTTTACTCCCTTAAATCCTCTGGCATTTCGCCTCAAAATGGGTATCAAGATTAAGAATTTAAATGCTGCCCTTGTTGACCTAAACGATCGAGCCACTAGGTTAGGACTTCAACACAGACTTGCAAACAGGAATCCTGAACCTAGAGGAATCCAACAGACAGTCTCCTTACTAGGTGAACCATCAAGAGTTATAGGAAGAGATGGTGATGTCCAAAAAATAGTTGAATTGTTGATTCATGACTCGAGTAACCAGCAGCCTCTCTGTGTGGTTTCTATAGTGGGTATTGCAGGCCTTGGGAAAACTACTTTGGCAAAACTAGTGAGGAACAATTACCAAATACAGAGACATTTCTGGAACATTATGTGGATCTGTGTTTCTGAAAATTTTGATGTGAAAAGGATTTTAGTACAGATGCTGGAGTCTCTTACCAAAGCTGGTTGTGAAAATATTACAAGCCAAGATGTTGTGGTTCAAAAAATAAAAGAAAATTTGGGGGAGAAAAAGTATCTCCTCGTTCTAGATGATGTGTGGAATGAAGATAGGCTAAAATGGGAAGACTTAAGGCAGTGCTTGCTGGGGATCAGTGAAACAATTGGGAGTAACACTACTGGAAAACGCGGCATAAGCGACAATACTATATTCGACAGCCATATTGCTGTCGAAAATGTGTACATAATCGACAGAATGATTGACGAAGATGTAAAATTGACGATGATAATGGAAATTTCTTGTTTAATCAACAGTATTCATATTCGACAGCCTTTTTGTCGAATATACAAATATATTCGACAGCCGTTGGCTGTCGAATATGTTCATTTATGGGAACGACATCGTTTTTTTCTGTATATTCGACAGCTTTTGGCTGTCGAATATAATCCTTCATATCCCCGCGCCTCACCTTTCTTCCCCATTTCTGGTTTTCCTCTGCGGCCGGTAGATCTGGTTTCTTCTCCGGCGAAGCTTGCTGTCGCTGTTCTTTCGTAGCGCCCCCTGTT